GAACTCCTTCCTCTGAGAGGGGATGTTGGATACTGTGTCTGATACTTCTCAAAATTCATGCATCCTTTTTTGGTAACAGGCCAAAAAAAAAATCAGAAAAAAAGAGTTATTTTAATAGGACATGGATGTCCTAGAATTAAGTATTGATTTCTCTTTAGAGACAAGGGATTCTGTGCAAAAAGTGGTATGGTTGCATTAGCCCACCCACTCCTTTTGTGGAGTCCGGGAGACTGGGGGCAGTTAGAGATTATAATTTATATAGGCACTAAGTTGGTTTACAAAATGCTATCTCAACGCAATGACATTTCCCCAAAGATAAGGAGAGCTTCCAGGCAGTTTGCCTGGGCTTGGAACGGTGAATCAGTTATTTATCTCTGTGATTAAATCTCTAAAGGGATGAGCCCAGGGTAACTTCTACTTTGTGCTGTTTCTGTCGCGCGTGGAGAAAGCCTGCCCCCTCTGCCACTGAGAAGGTAATGCGGCCACGTGCCCACAGGTCTGCTTCCATCTTAAGCTCTGCTGACCAGGCAGCCTGCCTGTGCTATGAACTGACAACCACACTCAGAGTCTAGCAACAGGCTGCAACTCTCTTAAAACATGATTAATTAGTATATGTGGCAATTTCACATTCACATCTTCCAGATAAGGGGAAAAAAACAAACACACAAAAGCAGGTTTGTCCGGGGCACACCGCAGGTCTCCTGGCAAGGATTCCAAATCAATAGTGCATTTTTCCTCCTGAGATTGCCGTTTCTAACCCATATAGGGCAACAGAGCCCCCAAGGAGCTCCATGACGCCGACACCGCTCTCCCTTTCTGCTAAGCAAGCAGGTTTGTGGTAAGTGGCAAGTGACAGTTAAGAACAATTTGTCCCCAGAGTGCAGTTTCTGCTCTCAGTCAACGCAAAACAAGGGCCTTTCAGCACACTGGCCAGTGCCACCTTAACTGCCTCCAAGGATTTGAGTGATGAAATTGAAAAACAGGGCAGTATGGAGATGTATTTTATGATCGATTATAGATGCCCTATGAAATTAAAAGAAGAACCTGAAGAACTGTGCTTTTTCAAAAGGGCCAACTCTTCCCACATGGCTGGTCATGCTCACAGCATCACATGTGTTCACAGGGTTGTCAGAGTCAGTCCTGCCAAGCCCTGCACCCCACTAACTGGATATGCTTGGTGGAACCCACCGAACCCTTAGCGAAATGTCAGGCGTGGGCTATAAATCTGTGTCTTTACCCTGCGAAGCCCTTTTCTTAAAGCAGAATGCTCATCAAGGTCACTGTGAATGATTGCAGTTCTAAAGCTACAAAAGTACAAGTCAACAGAAAATAGATTTCATAAACACTTTAAAGCTATGGTTCATCCAAAAACTCTTGCCTCCCCCACCCCCACCACTTTGTGGATTTCAGTGACAAATGCATTTTCATGGGACTAAGAATGCTTTGGAAACCTGTTCTCCTAAAAAGGCACACTACAGCTTCTCATTTTCTGCCTTCTGGCAGATCTGGTTTGAGCAAGCAGTCTTCAGAAGGCTAGAAAGACAACACTGCATAAAAATGTGTGTATTTCTGTAGGTTAAGATCCACAAGTGTGGGTACACTCAGGATTGGGGTGAGACAGGGACCAGGTGTACAGTTTGGCACATTATATTCATATAAAATATAATAGGCCAGATGGTGAAACCATCACTACTAGTAACTTTTTGAGTCTTGCATACTATGTAATACAAACAGGATCACTTTAAACTACATGTATAACACAAAGAGAAAAAAAAACTTACAAAATGCCACATTGTATTCTTTTGGGGGAAAACATGGGACACAGACTCAAAAAGATACTAGATCATCAATAAAAATATCCAACTAAAATTTTACTATATTTATATAGGCTTACATGCACACACACACACACACACATATAATTTTTAATATTCTTGTCACATAAAGGACTTCAGATAAGTAAAACATCCAACTCCTTTACTAGGCAAGATTTTCTCAAAGATCATTATGCAGGGACAACCATTTAAAAATCAAACTGTTTATCATCTTAATCCACAAGGAAAAAATAATACTATTTTAATCTTTCGGTTAAAATCTTGCGGGGGGGGGGGGTCACTTGAGTTACAAACAAACAGTAATAATAGTATTATCACTTACCGGCCGAGTAAAAGAATTAGAATCTTCCAGTTCCTCTAATGCCAGGTTGTGAGTAGGTCTAGAAGCTCCTCTCGCAAAGCTATTTCCAAAACAGGTGCAGTCCGCTCGGGAGCATCCTGTTTATTTGGAGCAGCGCGGGCCTCCTCTGAGCGCTCGGACCCCGTCTGCAGAGCCCATGGTTCTCAGAGGCCGGACAACTTCGGCCTCTCTGGGCTGCCGGTGCTCCTCCGGCCCCTGTCGACAATTATCCTGGAAGTTGCTGCCGAGTTTAATCTGTGGATCAGGTGAGCTTCTCTGAGCCCTGAGCGGGAGTCGCAGCAGGCAGGAAGATCCCTTTCGGTCTATCACGGCCGGCCAGGGGGGCGCCGGGGCATTGGAGACGAAGCCCCTTAGCTGCGCCGAGCTGGGAGCCGGGCTGCCCTCGGCGACGACGGCGGCAGCGAGGACCGTGGCGGCGCAGTGGGGTCCCGGCGGTGGCCAGGTCCAAAGACGCTGTCCATCCCCGCCGGTGCTGAAGTGCGGGCCCGAACCCCAGGCCCGGCCCCGCGCGGCACTTTTCCCCACCGGCGAACGCGATCGGTTAACTGTTCTTCCAGGCTCGCCTCCCCGGCGCTTCTTACGCGTCAGGGCTAACCGGCTTTCCAAGATAACGGTCTCATGCTTGTCCGGGGGCACCGCTTCCGGACAGCATCTGCCGTTGGAGGCAGAAATCCGTTGGAAATCAGTTGTGAGCCGCTCCTGACTTTTCAGTGGCCGCGAACGAGTTTCCTGATGCTAGAAATGAACGGGAGCGCACGCACACGCGCGCGCACACGCGCGCAAGAGAGAGGGAGGGGGAAGAGAGAATAAATATAGATTATGTACCGTGGAAAATCCAGCGCTTCTGTGGGTCCCTAATTACATAAGATGGAAAGGGCTATTTCGGAAGACTCCGCAATCTCCATCACCAATTGAGGCGGGGGGGGTGGGGGCGCATTTGGATTCTAAGAAGCGCCTTGTGAAATTCCCAGGTTAGACACAGCACCGAGACCCTCCGAGCAGAAACGACAGGTTACTGTTCAATGAAAACAGTAAATAAAAAAAGAAAAAGAAAGAAAGAAAAGGCCCCGCTACCTTGTAAAGCGTTGCTGAACTGGCTGGAAATCCTTGCCGAGCCTCTGGGAGGGGGTCGGGCGGGACGCGGACGCGTGAGCGCGGGCTCCGAGCCGGAGAGGCAGCGGTGCGCGCCGAGCGCAGGCTCCTTCCCCGAGGCCGGGTTGGCGAGTGTCCGCAGCCCCGGGCCCTGCAGGGCAGCGGGGGAGGCAGTCTCTCAAGGACCAAACCGGGGACGATAAAGTCAGCGGGAAAGATCGGCCGTCCCCGCCCTTCTAATGCCTGAACGCAGCGCAGCCCGCCGGTCCCGGCTCGGTTCCGCTCTTTAGCCTGCTTCTGCTCGCTGCCCCCAGGCCTCTCCGGCCCCTAGTCCCCGCGGCGCGCAGACCCCACCTCTGCCCGCGGCACCGGCTCTCACAGCCGCCGACCCCCGCACCAAGGGGGGCGGCGCGGGGGCCCCCGGGACGGCCACCGAGGGCTCCGCCGCCCACATTCGGCACCTGGTCCTGACACGCATGGGGTGAGGCGGGGGACCGAAATTTACTACGTTGGAACTGCTAGAGCTGATCAAAATTACAACCAAGGACCCATAGAAAAGAAGGAAAATGTAGCTGGGGGTGGGGGTCGTACCACGGCGCACCTCTCCAGGCACTGAGATTACGAGTGTCATTTTCCGCGCCCGGAGATTGTTGGAGACCTGGGAGGGAACTCAAGAGGGAAGGAACGGGTGTGGGATGAGGGCGCTGGAGATAAACGCGAATTTCCCGACGCGGGTCCCAGGCCCTCCTAGCGGCCGGGCGTTCAGAGTCCTCGTGCCCGGATGCGGACAACAGAGGGAGTCGTGGGCTCACCGCGGTCCTCCACGCCAGCTGGGGTATCCGAGCCAAGGGACTGGGGCCGCGCGTCCAGAGGGCTCCCCCAGGACCTGGGGGTGGGGGACCGCGTGGGAGGCGGCAGGCAGCGGGCCTCCGGTTGGTTACCTCAAGGCTAAAGGAGACTGGACCGGGGATCACCTGGGATGGAAATCAGACAGGCTCGTTATTCATCCCGGGAAGTCCACGGTTTCCTTAGACTTTGAGCCACCTCTCCGCCGCCTGGGCTCCAGCGGGATCCCGCGGGNGGCACTTTATTTAAAATAGACCCTGGCCCCAGAACACTCGACAGGAAACCACCAGCAACCAGCCTCCATGATCAAGACACCCGACAGCCAGATGCAAGCCCTTCAAACCAGTCCCCTTACATTTGATGATCATCTTTTTTTTTTTTTTTTTTTTTGGAAGGAGAAGGAATATTTACTCCAAATTTTCTTCATCAAGTTGTGTAACCAGTTATGGATATTAGCATGATGAAAATTAAATGCAGTCTAACATCTGATGCTCCAAATGAATATAAATAAAGTACACAAATCAGAGGACTGATAAACTCAGATGAACATGAACTATTTAAAGAAAAGTTCCTTGAGGTTCATTTTAAATGTTAAATTTTGTTATTACTTTTATAATATAAGCATAGTAAAATGTGAATGTAAATCATCAAAGCAATACAATCTGTGAAGCATAATTTTCACAAGAAAATTTTGTACCCTAATATGTTACTGTGAAACTGAAACTAGGTCCTTCAGTTTCACTGTTTACAAAACTAGAATACAATGGCCACCTACTCAGCCCACCCTTCACAGTGTAGGAATCTTAGAACACTGTATTAGTTTGTGAAACATTTTGGAAAGAGTTCTTTGGAAGAGGGAGTTTGAAATGCATATCAAAACCTCTATATGCTATGATATAAAGTAATAGTCGTTGTATATGAAACTCAGACACTGGCTGAGTTGAGCCATTTTGACTCCATAAAATGTCTGCTAACCTCACTGAATTACCATATGCAAATAATGTGTGTAAAACTTCATATATCCTAATATGTTTCTGTAAAAATAGGTTATGTTATCATCTGTGGATATCCCTTGGTCGCTATTTCTACACCTCAGTTTCGAGAATGGATAGGTAAGTTTAGGGTTTCTGTTTTTGGTTAATATATTTTTCTTGTTTGCTTCACTTTGTGTCTCCTGTTAGAAAGATAGGGTTACATGAATTCAATACTCACGTCTGAATCCTTCTCACTTCATGGTTTCAACATGCCCAGTATGATTTCAAGCTGATTTTCTTTATTGTGTTCAAGTGCAACTAAATATTAATACTTAACCATTACCAAGTATTTCTGAATTGGAACAGTGATCCTATTTATTTACTTCTGTGGGTTTTCTAATGGAAGGTTGCTGAGTGTACATTGTTTTGCCCCTTTTCATTTAAGACCCCTCCCTCAAGACATACCTTTACTTAGCCAAGGTGTTCTAGGCTGCTGAGTCATCACCAGATAAGTCTAGAGGACTTCCATTACAAACTGAAACTTTGATGGAACAATCAGATCAGACATACAAACATGGAGTCAGGTGGTCATGGAGGATCTGGGCTCAAACTTGGTCCTACCTCCACCAAGGACTTGAACTTTCTCTGAGCTGCGCCAGGTGTAAGGACACCACCAGATGTACTCAGAACAGCAACTGACAGCTGCAGCCTTATGGTCTCAAGGTGATCTCTGGCTGTGAAGCCTTTCAGACCCCAACCATCCTTGTTTGACAGACAGCCTACTCCCCGCCAGCCCCAATTATAACTCTTGAGAAAAAACTCATGAAACCAACAGTAACCTTGCAATTTTTTTTATTTTTCCTTTATAAGCCTCCCCCATTTTGAAGTCAGGGGAACACAATTCAAGTGCTTCATGAATCTGTGTCTCCTGGGCTTCAGTCCTAACAAATAAACACCTTTTATTTCAATTGGGTCTCCATTGCTCAGATCTTGGCTAACAGCTTCATATGCATTTCCCTCTGTGATAGTTGAGCTCAGCTGTCTCCAGCTACAGAAAAAAGGTGAATGTATTAAATAACTTCAGAATTCTACTCACCTCAGATTAATTGAAGTGCAAACATCCATTGGTTAGCTTAATGTGGTTTTTGTTTCAGTGTGGTGGGGGTGGGGGTGGGGGGCCATGGAATGGGTGTCACAAGAGAGGTCAGAAAAACTCAGGAAATTAATTGGAACTGCCTGGGAGGGAGATTTCATTTTAGACAGTGTAGGTTGAGCACTGAGCTTTTTATTTTTTATTTTTCTTTTTAAAACAGGAAGTTCAGTCTGACTTGCTCCAGAAAGAATGCTACTTTCTGCTATGTGGATAAGATACTAGACTACGTGGGTAAGATACTAGACTGTTTTGAGTCTACTTCATTTCAAAATGGAAATAATGCAACCTACTTAGTAGCCTTGGTAGATAGCCTGTGGCTGGGGCTCCAGGTATGGTGCATGCCCCCTCCACCCCTTGGACAGACAGAAACAGTGCCTGGGAGGACTTTCTTGTTCATTCACATCAAGTAGGGGACACAGCTTTATTCAAAGTGCATCCATGTAAATAGAACTGTTACAAGGATGTAGAGATCCCAGGGCAGGTTTTCAGTGCTATGGAAATCACCCACAGGTTATCAAGTCCTCCATGGTAGCAAGTTCCTAACTGCTGACAAAAAATGAAACCATTTTAAAGGGCCTACTCCTGATTAAGCTTGTTTATAACAGCAAATATTTTTACACTGGCCAGTGATATACATTCTTTCTAATAAGCATGCATACATGGAGAGCAGCCCTGCCCTCTGGGCAGTGGAGGGGGGTGGGAGTGGGGGGGACTCGTGATGACCCAGGAGAAACTGACAAGGGCACCACTAATGGCATAACTGGGCTTCCCTGATGGCTGGAATGGTGAAAGATCTGCCTGCAATGCAGGAGATGCAGAAGACATGGGTTCAATCCCATGGGCCAGGAAGATCTAGAGAAGGAAATGGTGACTCACTCCAGTATTCCTGTCTGGGAAATCCAGGGGCAGAGGATCCTGCCTATATAGTCCATGGAGTTGCAGAGTTGAACGTGACTAAGCACCCACACACACTTGTGCTTTATACAAGTAATTTTCTTAAAAAAAAAAGTGTGTGTGTATGATGGTGCTTGCCTGTGTCTATATGTCTATATATGTAGATAAAAATAAATAAATGTGACATTGACATCTCTAGCTGGTGCCCAGTCATTTACAAAAAAATGTCTTAGAAATGTTATCTAGGGAGTCTCATTTACAACTTTTCTTCTTTCTCCTTTCCTTATACTGCCTTCTTTTGGGACCCATCTGATTAGACTCCTCTGTCAAGGTCACCAATGCTTGCTTTTTTTCCAATCCATCAGTCACCACTCTGCCTTCACTGTGTTAAGCTCTCTTACCAGACTCCAGAACATGCTTCCACCCATTTGGTGACTCCGTCCCCGAAACTCAATACCCCCAGCTGCTGTGAAGTTGTTCACACACGTGGCTCTTCTCCCTCGGTCTTCCCTGCTGGTACCTTCATGCTCAAACCCCTTCACTTTGGAAATTCACATGACTTAGTTCTTGGGTCTTGACTCTTCTGACTCTGCCATCTCTGCTTAAGTGATCTCATCCAGTTTCAAATGCCACCACTTTTAATATCATTTATATGTCATTGACTCTTAAATCCATCCACTGAGCTCCAATACAGAGATTCGAGTTGCATATTTGAGATCTCTGCTTGAATGCTTCTAGACATCTCAAGTGTGAGCTGTCTGAATCAGCATGGAGTCACCGCCCCAGAAAAGCTGTTTCTCTGACCAGTCTTCATGGAGTAAATGCACCCTCCACCCCCACACTCAGTTAAAGCTCACAATCAACAACCCTTGTCTCAGTGTTTGTCCTCCCTCCCCCACCATGTCCAAGCAATCAGCAAGGACTTTTGCTTTTGTGCCTAAAATATTTCCAATCCACCCCCTTCCTCTAAGATAACTTTTTTCTCTGGCTCAAGGTGCTATAATTTCTTATCTATCCAAAGGCCATAGTTCACTCATTGATCTCAGGGTGACCACTGTTCCCTGGGACTCCTCTGCATAGCAGCAGGAATGAATTTTTGATAACATGAATCCTTCCATGTCATGCCTATGCTCAGACCCTCCCAGGTTTCCCAGTGCCCTGGGGACAATACCTGGCTTTGGCAGCCTGACGTGGCTCTCATCAACCACTGTCTTCTCCCGGTCACCTTCATCCCAAGTCCTCGTATTGACCAAGCACAGTGCTGTGGGAAATACACCGCCCAACCTGAAATACAACTCACCCACCCACCCCCCTGCCCCAGATCTTGACAAGCCTGGCTCCTTCTTCTCCATCAGGTCTCTGCTCAGAGGACACATGATCAAAAAGGCCTCCATTGACCAGCCAGTTCAAGTTATCCCCATAGTCTCTTTGAACATCCATCAAGGTGTTTTAAGGTCTATAACAAGTACTGCTCTGGGAACATATTAGTGTTTTGTTTTTTTTCGTATTGATTCTCCTTTCCTGCTATAACCTGGACAGCAGGAAAGCAAAACCTTGGTGTCTTCTGAGTCCCCTCCGTGAAGAACAGTGTCCAGCACACAGCAGGTGTTCCGTAAACAGTAATTGATTAACAACGGAAACCCTGTGATAATTGCTAAGAGTACAAAATTAAACAAAATGATGTCTTTGTTCTTCAGAACTGCAAAATATTTGTTATTTACAGGAATAAGAGCTTTAACACTGTGGTTACATTTTTTTAATAACAATAGCTTTTTTAAAAATATGCTCATTTATTTTGAAGCTATCAAAAGTATATTTTCAAGGTTTAATAAGGATTTATTTTTAGAGAGATTTCACCTCATATGCTTCCATAATTAAAATCTTCAACTAATTAGCTATATGGATATTCATGTTTAAAATTACCAAAATTATTCATTGTCTGAAAAAACAAAAGTAAGGACATAGGCAGAGAGTTTATTTTCAACCTTCCCCTAATTCCCTTTGATCTGCATTTGTTATGCTTTCATTATTTTTGCTTCTGTACAAAGAATAGTTATGCAATTATTTTTATTTATAAATGCATCTACTATTATAACAACAAGTATAATGACTATGGAAAAACTGGGAAAGAACGAAGAAAACAGCCTGGCACATCCTTACCAATTACATCACAATTTTAATATATTTTCTCCTAAACATGTTTCAATGTATCATCTCAACCCCTATTAAAGTATCAGAGCTTACTCCCAATTGTTACTAATACTCAGTTTGTAAGATTTTAATATGTAATAAAATATGTAAGATTTTTATTGTGTTGTTGTGAGATCTTTATCCTCACTTTTAAAGGCTACATATTATGTGGAAGTAACATAATTGGTCATATCTTTATTTTAGGACATAGACTACATTTTCAGATTTTTATATTATTTATATGAAGAGTTTCGTAAATATACCTTCCCTATTATTTGCATGATTTTGTGGATGGTAGAGCCAAAGAAATATAAATACTGGTTTAAAGTAGTTGCTTGTTTTATGGTTCATAGTATATACCGTGTGTGTGTGTGTGTGTGTGTGTGTGTGTGTGAGAGAGAGAGAGAGAGAGAGAGAGAGAGAGAGAGAGAAAGAGAGAGTGAGAGACAGAGAATATAAGAGAGGAAGTCACCTGACCGCCCTGCCTCACTGGGGAGATTACTGACCGTGAACCTCATGGACGTGATTTAATAAATGCTGCTTTGCTCTTTTTCTCTCCAGGACCCACTGTATAAATGTGAGATGAAGCCTGATTTCAAGTCTTTGAGACTCTCTGTGGGCTTATATTTGTTTGCTTGCTTTTTCCACATCTTAATATGTATTATCACATCACACACCTCTTGTGATGGTAAATTTTCAACCATTCACGAGTATAACCATCTGTCTTGTCAAAGTCTACTCCCAGTCCCCCAAAATCGAGTTCTGTAAATGCTAGGACACACCAAAAAAAAAATGTCAAATCACCCCCAAAATGCCATTTGAGTGAGGTGAACACATTTCTAGCCATGCTTCTCTGGGTGATGAGCATGGAATGTCTTTGCAGTTCTCTCCCCAGTTCCTCCATGGAAAGTTCAGATCTCTTTTATTTTAAGTAAGATCATTCCAAACATAAACTCAGTCAGGTTTTCATAGCAGGCAGTTTAAAAGAAAAGACAAGTAAACAAAAAGTCTTTTTGTGTGTGTGTGTGTGTGTGTGTGTGTGTGTGTGTTTTGCTTTTCTAAAATACATACGTATTTTCCATAATGATTGGAACCAAACGCAATACCAAGGACAACATATAAAAATATAAGTTTGTGATGGATTCCCATAACTATGGATTGTATGTAACTATTGCTGTCTTTTCACACTGATTTGTTGCCTTGTCATAATCTCTTAAATAAAGAGACCAACCTCTGGCAGGTAAGCAACCTGAGTTACCTGAGTTCTAATCTGTCTACACAATAGACCACATGACGGTCTTCAGTTCAGAAACACACTCATGATAAGGCACATCCATGTATCTTTACCTAGCAATTGGATTGATCAAATTCACAGATTTAATCAATAGTCTCTCTGTATCCATACTTTGCAATGATACTCAGCAGTTTACCAAAAGAGTTGGGATCTATTTCTCCACCCCTTGGATCAGGGTCATTTCAGGATTTGCTGTTATCAATAACTCCAGAAGTGATGGTGTGTTCCTGCCAGATCTGGGTGTCTGGAGCCCTTGAACCCTTTGGTCCTCTTTTGAACTTTTTCCAACCAGGATAACAAAGACAAGCTTGGTTAGAGGGAAGGAAATGTTGTTTGGTAGAGCTGGGTCCTCTCAGCTAACACTGACCCAGCCCAGCCTTCCCCTACCACTGCAGAAACTTATGAATAAAGGCCAAACGTAGTTATCATCTTGGAATAAAGCTCATTTTAGAGTGTGTGTGTGTAATTTAAATAGTATAGTTCCTCTATAAAAACTATACATATAAACATACAGTATATGAATACAGAGTCAGAGAAATATTTTCGTGCCAAGTAAATGCATGTTCTGTAAATTTTTGTATCTCTATGTTTTTATTAACACTCTTAATTAGTTGGAAATTTTTTACTTCTTTTCCTCTGAGTACAGATTGTAATGTTCAAGAGGAGTCCTGATTTCTCAAAGTTGTACTCAGATTGCCAGCTGATGTTTATTTACCATCTGTAATATCTGGAAGTTTATACTTCAATTTTATTTTATTTTTTTCTTTCCTCCTTGACTTTTGCTCCCAGTCCCTTCTCCTCTTCTGCTTTTTCATAATTCTGTTGTGACTTTTTCCTTCTTCCTCTCCTCATCCTTCTCTTCTTTCTCTTTCTAATTTCTTTCTAATTTCTAATTTCTAATTTCTCTTCTATGCAGAAAAATACAGAAAAAAGCAAGACAGAGATTCCATAACCAGCAATGATGTATGCGTGCAAAACAAAATTTTTCTGTGCCTTCTGATGTTTTCCCAAATTGCGCTAAGAACATACTCTCCCATCTCAAGTTTCAAAGATGTTAATAATCAGGGTTTGTCTGTGTAAGGAAAGTACATGCTCCTGTCAAGTTGAGTCCAACTCTTGCGACCCCATGGACTGTAGCCCTCAAGGCTCCTCTGTCCATGGGATTTTCCACACAAGAATACTGCAGTGGGTTGCCATTTCCTTCTCCAAGGGCTCTTCCCGAGCCTGCGTCTCCCGTGTCTCCTGCGTTGGCAGGTGGATTCTTTACCACTGAGCCACCTGCGAAGACTCATATAAGCAGCACCCCTATCATATTTAAACAGCCCCAGGTTCTTGTGAGATTCTCATAGTCTAGAACGGCTCCCAGTGGTAGTCACTCATTGTGTCCCTTCATCTCCTTATTCAGCAGCCAGTTAGCAAATGATGCTGGGTGACAGCTCTCTGCAGACCGCTTGCCAGCACTTTTCTCTTTCTTTTTATTGGAGATGGTTGATTTCCAATGTTGTTAGTTTCTGCTGTAGAGTAAAGTGACTCAGTTCAGTTCAGTTCAGTCACTCAGTCATGTCCGACTCTGCAACTGCATGGACTGCAGCATGCCAAGCCCCCCTCCATCACCAACTCCCGGAGTTTACTCAAAATCATGTCCATTGAGTTGGTGATGCCATCCAGCCATCTCATCCTCTGTCGTCCCCTTCTCCTCCTGCCCTCAATCTTTCCCAGCATCAGGGTCTCTTCAAATGAGTCAGTTCTTCACATCAGGTGGCCAAAGTATTGGCATTTCAGCTTCAGGATCAGTCCTTCCAAAGAATATTCAGGACTGATATCCTTTAGGATGGACTGGTTGGATCTCCTGGCAGTCCAAGGAACTCTCAAGAGTCTTCTCCAACACCACAGTTCAAAAGAATCGATTCTTTGGCACTCAACTTTTCTTATAGTCCAACTCTCACATCCACACATGACTACTGGGAAAACCATAGCTTTGACTAGATGGATCTTTGTTGGCAAAGTAATGTCTCTGCTTTTTAATATGCTGTGTAGGTTGGTCATAACTTTCCTTCCAAGGAGGAAGTGTCTTTTAATTTCAAGGCTACAGTCACCAACTGCAGTGATTTTGGAGACCCTCCAAAAAAATAAAGTCTATCACTGTTTCCACTGTTTCCCCATCTGTTTGCCGTGAAGTGATGGAACCGGATGCCATGATCTCAGTTTTCTGAATGCTGAGTTTTAAGACAACTTTTTCGCTCTCCTCTTTCACTTTCATAAGAGGCTCTTTAGTTCTTCTTTGCTTTGTGCCATAAGGGTGGTGTCATCTGCATATCTGAGGTTATTGATATTTCTCCCGGCAATCTTGATTCCAGCTTGTGCTTCTTCCAGCCCAGCATTTCTCATGATGTACTCTGCATATAAGTTAAATAAGCAGGGTGACAATATACAGCCTTGACATACTCCTTTTCCTATTTGGAACCAGTCTGTTGTTCCATGTCCAGTTCTAACTGTTGCTTCCTGACCTGCATACAGGTTTCTCAAGAGGCAGGTCAGGTGGTCTGGTATTCCCATCTCTTTCAGAATTTTCCACAGTTTATTCTTATCCACACAGTCAAAGTTTTTGGCATAGTCAATAAAGCAGAAATAGATGTTTTTCTGGAACTCTCTTGATTTTTAGATGATCCAACGGATATTGGCAATTTAATCTCTGGCTCCTCTGCCTTTTCTAAGTCCAGCTTGAACATCTGGAATTTCATGGTTCATGTATTGCTGAAGCCTGGCTTGGAGAATTTTGAGCATTACTTTGCTAGTGTGTGAGATGAGAGCAATTGTGCAGTAGTTTGAGCATTCTTTGCCATTGCCTTTCTTTGGGGCTTCTCTTGCTGAGTCTTCTCTGAAAGTGAATCAGTTATGCATATACATATATCCCCTTTTATTTAGATTATTTTCCCGTACAGGTCATTATAGAGTATTGAGTATTTCCCTGTTCTATATAAAAATAGGTAACTAATAATGCTGGACAGCTCTCTGAGTGTAGAATCAGCAGCAGTGGAGGAACGACCTGTCTGTAGTGACCACAGGGAGCGGGCCAACCCTGGGTTCCCAGTGAAGGACAGTGCAGGCCAGAGAGCATCACACTGCCCTGATACAACCCCCAACATTTTCCATCCATCCACAAAACATAGCCAGGAGGGTGTGAGTAGAAAGGAATTCAAGGAAAAATAAATGGATCAATGGCAAATACTCCAGTTACAGAAAGAAATTAAGGCTTTAGTAATGCTATATTTCATTATTAGGAGGTTTCCTTACAAATCAGGGATCCAGGGAATGAAATAACAGAGATAATCAAGTCCATGTTGCAAAGTGAGCTTCCCACCCCCTTCTCCTCTTGAAGAAGAATCGTGGCCTCACAGGCAGAAATTTTGTATAGTGTCCTAAACATTTACTATTTTGCCTCCATGCATTCTACTTAGAAAAAAGCAAATACTTTTCAAGAATTGGTAGAAAACCCTAGAATTCACGCACAGAGAAGAGAGACACTACATCTCATATCAATAATTACAGTTACTTTCCATCTAAAGCCTAGTTAGTACTACCCCAGTTTTGGAGACAAATATATGCTTACACACATATTTTATTTCTGAATTTTTATGCAACAAATAAGTAATGGTTTGGAATAGAAAAAATGGGCATGAGTGTCTGCTGTAGGCTGTCATGTTAAATTCAAAATCATTTAGAATGGAAGTCCCTTTGGATCAGAAGTGACATAGAAAT